CCCCAAAACCCCAAAACCCCAAAACCCCAAAACCCCACGCCAATTAAATCATTGGAAACTTTATTATTAATATTATTAAAATGAAACGTCTACGAATCCTAATCTTATACATCATGGCTGTGGTAGCCAATGTATGCCAGAATGATGCCCAGACTGCAGGATCTCCTCTCTCTGGAAGTTTTGGAATGGCTGGAACTAACAATGTCTTTCTTTTTGACATTTTGGAAGACCAAGACAGTGAATTGCTCTATTTTGTCGGGTGGTTTGGTTCATCCTCTCCGTTAGACACCATCATCTACAAGTCTGACCCTTCTCTGGCCAAAATTCAAGTGATGACTTATGATATCTTCTGCAACTACCGCTCCTACTCCATATCTCTAAATAGAGACTTCATCTATATCCAAGGCTTGACCACGGGAAAGATATTCGAGATCAGAACTTCAGACATGGTTATCTCCAGGGAGTTGGCAGTTAGCTCTGCCTCGATTACTCTAAATTCAAACATGAAAGTGGGCAAAGGTTTCTATTTCAGCTTAACCATCAGCTCAAGCACGCATACTTGCAGATGGGATATGTCAAGCTCCAATCTCGACTGATTCACTTTGGGAGTCAGCAGCCTGACTAATCTGGCCCCAATCAGTGCTGATCTGCTGTTCTTTGGGTCAACTGACACAGCAGCCGACCAATACTACCTGATGAACTACAACTTCTCTTCCTCGAGTCTGGTCTGGAAGAAGAGCATTGGCTGGCCAACTTCGGGCTGGGCAAATAAATTCAGCACTTCTCTTGTGAGTCGAGATGAAGAGTGGGTCTACACAATGGTGCTATACGATGATAACTTGATTTTCCACAAGCTCAGCATCACAGATGGGAGTCCCCAAAGTCCAGGGCTGATTTGGAGCGACAGTGGGTATGATCATAGTTACTCAATGAAAGAGTTCAGTGATTTCATTGCCGTTCAGATTCACAGTACCTCTCTGTCAAATTACAAAAGGTTAATTCTGGTCTCCCTCTCGACCACAGAGGTTATGAAGGAGTACAAGTCGGTGGACTCGTGGGCCTATGCAGTCGGAAGATTGCTTTATAAAGGTGAAGAGCTAATGTTCCATTCTGGAAGAATTATCACCAACGATACATTCTTCTTTGCAAGATCATCCACAAACAACATTGGTCAGCTTCCTGAGTTTGAAGAAGACACTCCTCTGTTCAGCCCAATTACAACAAACTATCAGGTATCTTCAACAGCATCAAACCCAAGCCTCACCACAAGTACGAAGACCCTCACTATCTCAACTTCGTCGTCCATCACGACTACTGACATCACGACGTCGACAAATCCTTCTTTCACCAAGTTCATAGCTCTGTGGAATCAAGACTATTTCCAGACTGTTCAGAGCAACACTTCGATGAAACTGGAATTCATCTGGGCCTGAGCTCAGTCAGCAAATTACACTGTTATCAGTTTCAGTCTTGCCCAAACTGGTTCTAATGCGATACCTGAGTGGGTTAAGTTGGATGCAGACAACCAAGAGCTGCACCTCAACACCACTCCCAAACTGACTGAAAAGAAGATTTTCTATTTTTCACTGCAGATCTCCTTCAACAGTGAAGTTCATTACAAGAAGTTTGAGATCACTGTTGAAAAGTGATCAATTCAAAACTGAGAGCAATGAACATTAGGTAACTCCAATAGTTGAGAGGCCTGATCAGACGGCTATCAAAGCTCTGGTGACCAGACATCTTGTTCTAAGATAAGTGCTATCGCTAGAACAACTGAAGTGGCAACTGCTTTTGTGGTATTGGGTATCATACTTACTAGTGCTTCATCTATGCTATCCTTATCATCATCCAACTCAATGTTTAGTATTATGAACAGCTTACAACTGGCAATATTGCTACCTCTAATTCCTGACTACTTCTCGCCCAAAGTATTAGACTTTCTGAGCACAATGGGCTTCACAATGCTCTCATTTGACTTTATCAAGCTCAAAGATATTCCGCTTGTGGAGGAACTTACTAACTGGGTGTCATATCCCCAATCTGATGGGTATTTAAACAGCCTCGGAATGAGGTCTGGCAGTTCAGTTGTTAATTATTTGTCCCTCATGGCTATCATCATATTGATAGGGATTATTCATGTTGGTGTATTGTGATGAGTTAGGCAAATAGAGAACTCAAAGCACATAAAATGAAAGAAATTCACCAAGAAGCTGTTCAAGTTCTTCACATTCAATGTCTACATAAGGATATTCATGCAAGCATTCGTATTTACAACTCTATCAATATTCTCAGAACTGTACAACCTCAATCTTGCTAAGGTCATCACAATAGTATCGTTTGGGTTCTGAGTTCTGTTCTGATTATGTACAAGTGTGCTGTTTATTTTGTCATTCATCATGTATTGCAAATCATTCCCTCAGTTTGATGAAGAAAAATATTGGCTATGAACTGAGTATTTCAACGGAGTCAAGCCAGCAAAATATTCTAAACTCTACTCTAGTCTGTTTATGCTGATGAGAGTGTTGCTGACTTCGTTGCTTATATTTGGGCAATCTGCTCCTTCGTATGACCGAGCCACTTGTTTCTACTGAGTCAACATTGCTTATTGTCTTTATTTGATAATTGTCAGACCATTTGAGAATTCTCAAAATAATATCATCGAAATCATAAATCAAACTTTGTTCTGTATTTTGGCAGTCCTATTAACTGGGCTAAACACAAAGGAAGATTGGACACCGTTCTACGAAAGGTTTTATACAACTGTGCTTATGGCATCTCCAGTTCTTGGGAGCTTAATATGATTAGGATTCTTAATGAAATCAATTGTAATTTACATACGAAAATGGAAGGCGAAGAATAGACACCAAAATGTGGCACCTAAAGATCCCTCCTATCTTAATAGAGCACCTCAGGGTCTTAATGATCCCAGCCAGAGTCCCTTACCACAAATCAACAACCCGTCCTCGAGCATGAGCGGAAGTAATGCTTCGATAGCACCTCGTCAAGGCACTAAAAATCAAGCCTCCAAAGCATCTTGCCCGAAGAGAATTGCAATGACGAGCAAAATGGATAACGGAAGATAATATTTAATAATATCTCAACTGTGAATCCATGCTCCGGGGTTTTGGGGTTTTGGGGTTTTGGGG